TTTATTAAAGAATAAGAAATAACTATGTTAATTCAAAGCTCAGTAAGAGTTGGGTTGTTAAAACTCGAAAATAATTGTTTAGAACTTGGATGAACAAAAGTTAGTTTCAAAGGAGGAATATTTTATTTCTGACATGCCTTGACTTGCCACTGTGTGGTGATAGTTGGTGCTATTGTTTTAAAATTCTCTACACAAAGTGAACTTTCCTTATTGCCTATACCAGGGAAAGAACTCCCGAAGCTTTGCTGTTATTATGCCAATGTATGTATTAATTCAGAAGCTTTCTAACTAATTCTAACATATGATAGATATGTAACAATGATTGAGTCATCATAATGCTTGAGGACCACATATTTTCAAAATGTTTCAAATCATACTGATATTCAGAGTAAGGTGTGGGTTTATTGCCATGGTTTTGTGTCGATGGAGTGTTCAAACCTTGGCATTCTCCGTAGTTAGATCCCATATACCACTTGCCCTCAGTAAGATTTACCTAAAAATCTCAACAACCTCATGAGTTCAGGTACCATTTATTTGGAATTTGTGATGAGTGACTTCGCTAATTTTTCAAGTATACTTGTCCTCGTTTATGAAAAGTTATATAAGCACATTTCTGTTTTAGAAAAGAGACTGATGGTATGCTATTCAAAAGTATCATCGTGTAGTATTTTGCACACTGATATTCTGGATTTAACCTTGTCACTTATAGTAATCTTAAACAAGTCACTTGAAATTTGTGGTTTTTAGATTTCTTTTTTTTAAATTAGTGAAATCAGAGGGTCAGACTGGGAAAACCTAAGGTTTATTTAAAGCTAAACTTACAGTAATGTTTCAGATAATATGCTTGACAGACTCCCAGAGTTTGATCTCAAGTGGGACTAGAAATGACATGGAGAAATATGGTGAGCTGATGTCTTAGAACAAATTTTAAAAGCCAAGCATATTCTTAAAATACTTATGACGGGTAGAAGCAGTGATTTGATAGGCTCTCATTGTCTCATAGTTTCATTTGGAAAGAGCTGGAGGAAATAAATGCACTTCTCAGTGTTGCTTCGGAAAGAGTGAGATTCCTGAATATCCTTACCATCCTCTCCTGGTTTACCTCATCTGGAGGGCAGAGATTTTTGTCTCTTTGTTGTTACTGTAAGCCCACACAACAATAGTGCCTGCATTCTGTGGACCTTCAATTATTTGTTGAGTAAATGAATTCTACATCTGAAAATATTATGATGTAGCAAGATTTATAAACAGAAAGCAAAGAACTTTTAGAGCTAATGATCAGCATGGCATTTTACCTTATTCAATGTGATGACCTCATTAGAGTATTGAGTGTGGTGAGAATTGAAAAAGATTGGTGGAGGATGTGTGAGGACTTTGGAGTGTAGCTACATAATAGCACTCCTAATTTCAAAATTTCTAGAGTAAATAAATTTGACTCATACTTAATATAAAACCTTAAACTTGAGTTTTTGTTTGTTTGCTTGTTAGTTTTGTAAATACAATATCCCAGTATACCAAGAATGTCTCTATCATATTGTCTTGCTTTGAGGAAATGCTTGTGACAAATAAATCAAAATAGTGTATTATATAATTCTCAAAAACTCACTGGGATTTTTCAGATGTGAACACTATTTTAAAAAAGAAAAATAGTAGTTGAATCAGTTCTAAGGAAATTCTCTGTTGTAGTTTGCTGGAGTCATACAAAGAGTAAGTTTTCTTTTCTCCCTACCCTTGACACTGTTTACTGAAAGGTAGTGACTTACAAAGAAAATATGAAAGAATTTAAAATATTAATAAGTATATAAACTATACTTTTAGTGTAACTTTTTAAATAGAGGAAAACACTGGGTATAGCACTTGGAATTTCTGTTTCTTCTAACTTTAAGGTTATCTTAGAGTTAAGATGAGAGAACAAAACAAATTAAACTATAAGCCTTAGGCTGTAGATTATTTTTTTCCCTTTTATCTGTTCAGCGCAGCTGATCAGATCAACTTTGCCCTTCTGAGGAAAGCTTAGTATTGCAGAAAACAGTCATTGACGTTGGCAAGGTCACTTGCATGAGAAACTCATAGAAATCAAGTTG